AAAGCATTAAGCAAATATTCTAACAAAAGCTTGTTCATATTAAACAATCTTTTATCATTTTCATTCCATTTGGATTTTTCCAAAATATGAACGACATAGGCTTCCTCAATAATTTCCCATAAATCGAATTGTTTAGATTGAACAAAAAAAAAATTCTTGATTAATTAATTCTTACAAAAGATATATGAATGAGTGATGAGCAAGAATGTAAATTACAAGCACAAAATAAATATACATAAAGAAAACTCAAACACGAGATATGATCACGGAGTTCGGTCAACCCTTGACCTACGTCTCCGCTCCTCACCTCGAGAAGATCTCCACTATATCGACACACCCGGTTTGGAAGCTGAAACTTCTCTACACACTCGGTTTTCTAGTTCATTAAAAACTCTACACGGCTGTTTTGTTTGAGCTTCTTTTTCGAATGAGCCCTTTGCTTCATCGAGAATGAAGAGAGACACTCACAATGTACATACACAAACAACCCTAAGTGTTGGTTCTCACATATCGCCTCCCTCAAGTGGTCGGCTTTACTACCTCTCACTAGGCTTTACTATCGACTTCACTCATCTTGGAATCGACTACGTCCTCACCACACACTCCTCTTGGTGTAAATGTGTATTACAAAGTGATACTCACAAATGAAGCTCAAATAGAATAATTTGTTCTCTAATAATAAATGAGAACACAATGAAGCTCACTCTCACAATATCACTCATCACAACCCACAATATAGTGTATGTAATCCTAGAAGCTCAATAGGGATGTGTGTGTGATAAATGAGTACAAATAAAATCTAACTAAAAAAGAACTAGCAATAAAATAGATATGAAATTCAAGAATAAAATGCTAGATAATTGAGTTAGGGAAACTTCTCTATAAACACAAAGAGTAGATGATGAAAGATTGAGGATGAATTCCTCAACCAAGGATGTAAGCTCCTCTTTGCGAAAACCAAAGACCAAACTTGAAACAAATTTAATCAAACTTTAAAACTCTTTTAAAACTTGTTTAAAACTTTCTTAGGTAGTTGGAAGTAGTTAATGTAAAGGAGTATTTATAGGCTTGAAGAAACCAGCCTAAGAATTCCAAATCTCTTAAAAGCATTGAAATAATCAAAGCTGGAAACTAGCCGTTACTGTGCAAACGGCTAGTTATAAGTCGACTTAACAGTACACACAAGTTGACTTGGCAGAGGAAAATAACAGACTAAAAAACAGGCTATAAGTCGACTTGCGAAATGACATAAGTCAACTTGATATAAGTCGACTTGCTATGATATATAAGTCGACTTGACAGAGGCTAATGCACTTTCTAGAGTAGTTCATAAGTCGACTTATCCAACCTAGTAAGTCGACTTATGAACATGCACAGGGACTGTGCATGTCCAAAAATTAACTTTTAAAGTGTATTTAAAAATAGCAAATAAATTCAGAAAAATGTAAAACTTTGAAAAATATTTATAAACATGATAATAAACATGTTACAAAAAGAAATTTTCAATTTTCACTTCCTATTTGTAAAATCTCATCATTTTGCAAAAACACTCAAATACATGTTTGTATAAACACTTGATTTTTTATTTTTGACTTTAAACAAAAGTTTTGAAACTTTATAAAATAATTTTATAGACTTAATAAAATATGTATATAATGATAGTTAAGTCCATAAACCAATAACACAATATTTTTATAAAAACACCTATATTTCAATAAATACGTGTGTGTTATATTGAGCTTGAAGAATTGCACACAATATATATAACTCCTATACAAAAAAAAAAGAATACCTAAGGAGAAAGAGAAGCTGCTATACTTGAATTTTTAATGTGATGATAACTTCTTTTTAGATATAATGAACCTGGATATAACACAAACAAACACAAAACACTAAAACCAATATTAGTCATAAATTGTTTGTTAAATCATCATCAAAATAAAAAGGCCAACAATCGGTTGCCTGGGGGATGAGAGAACCCACACTATACATATCGACCTAAGCCTCGTCGCTGATTCGGGATTATCTGCTAATCTTGTTGCCGAGCCTCAAGATATCAACAATTTCATTATCATTGAGCGAGCGACTCTCACAGATGCATCACTATCTCATCCTATTACTACCCCCATGGAGCTTTATTTAAAGCTTCTCAGTCAGATGGTGATCCTTTATCGAACCAGTATATCAGGAACTTGTGGGTACCTTGATTTATTTGTCTGCTATTGATCTAGATATATCTTATATTGTTCACACTCTCAGTCAGTTTATGGCCACACCGACAGCAATTCACTATGCAACCTTGATCAGACTAGGTTACTATCACTCACTTCTTGTTATTTTCATCCTATTCACCTCTCTCATTACAAGCGTACACTTATGCCGGTTTGGTTGATGATCCTGATACTAGACAATCACAACTAGTTATTACATTTTTCTTGTTCCGTTTGTTTTTTCTTGGTGTGGCAAATGCCAAACTGCTCTTTTCCGATCTAGCACTGAGGCAGAATATCATGCTATGGCCGACACTACTCTTAAGAGTAGTTGGTTACGCCATCTTCTTTAGCATCTCGGCATCTTCGTTCCTTTTCTTGTTCCTCTATTTTTTGACAATAAAATTACCATTCAGATTGCTTGTGATCCGGTGTTTTATGAGCATACTAAACATATTGAGGCGGGTTGTCATAATGTCTGACAGTTTTATAGTGCTCACAATATTTCTCTTCCTTAAGTTAGGGCTGTCCAAAACAGCCCGGAGCCCGGCCCGGGCCCGGCCCGGCCTCGGCCCGGAAACCCGGGCCAAGTCCGGGCTCCGGCCCGGGCCCGGGCCGCCTTTTTGGTGCCCGGCCCGGCCCGGAATAGTAAGTTTTTTTTATTTTTTATTTTTTTATATGTATTATATTATATATGTATAATATAAATATATATAATATGTATAATATATGGTTATATAATATATTTTTATTATATGTATAATATATGTAATATATATAATGTATGTATATATAAAGCATATTTCTATAAATATGTATAATATGTCCATATGTGTGTATATATATACTCTTTCCATAGTATATAAGTATATATAAGTATATCTCTCGTTTATATAAGTATATATCATGTATAAGTATATATAAGTATACTTTCTCTATATATAAATATATATAAGAATACTCTCTCTTATATATGTATAATGTATGGCAATGTATGTATATATATACTCCTCTCTTAGTTATATATGTTATATGTAAGTAATACCTCTCTCTATAGTAATATATTTACTATATATGTAATAATATTCATATGTGTATGTAATATATATACTCTCTCTTATATAAGTATAATATATGTATATATATAGTATAGAGTATAGCTGCTCTCTTATATAAAGTATAAATATATATATATAGTATATATATATTATATATATATATATATTAATATATATATATATATATTATAAAGATATACTCTCTTTATATACATTGTATAATGTTATGTATGTATGTATATATTATACTCCTCGGTGCTCTTAAGTATTATATGGTATAATAAGTATACTCTTTGCTTATATATGTATACTCTCTCTTTATGATAAGTATGATTAAGTATACACTCTCTATATATGTATAATATATGTGTGTGTATATATATATATATATATACTAATATACTCTCTCTCTTAGTATATATGTATATATAAGTATACTCTCTCTTATATATGTATACTCCCTATTATATAAGTATACTCTTTTATATATGTGTGTGTGTATACTCTCTCTCTTAGTATATAAGTATATATAAGTATAGTATATTACAACGGTTACTTCCCCATTGGCCCAACGAGCAACGGCTACAGGGTTACTTTTGCGATTCTCTCTCTCTTAAATTATAACTTATAAATATATACAATATTTACATATAATATATGTATATATAATATATAGTTACATAATAATTTAGAAGTATATACTAATACAATTATTATTATTTTATTATTTTTTGTCTTTTTTTATAATTTAAAACTTAAATAAAATTTAAAAATTTAAAAAAAAAATTTTAAAAAAATGAAAAAACCCGGGCCGGCCCGGAACCCGGCCCCGGACCCGGCCCGGGGTACCCGGGTCCGGGTCCGGGCTCCGGTTTTGCCCGGCCCGGCCCGGATGGACAGACCTACCTTAAGTACCATCCAGCCCGGGCCGGCCCGGATGGACAGCCCTACCTTAAGTACCATCCAAATATCAACTCGAAGACATTTTTACTAAGACACAAGTTACTGCTCAACTAGTTTATTTCTTGTCCAAATCTTTCGTGTTTGATCAAGTTTGAAGGGTGTGTGTCAAGATAGGATATATATCTATACGTGTACATGCCCAGTATTGGCCCACTCAAGCCCGTGTAGTCTATATTTGTATCATATTTTAAGATCAATATACACAATTATTCTCTCCCAATTATCAATAACATTATATAATAGTCAGTCCCCACCATAATTTCATTGTTCTGTTGTACAAAAGGAAAGGACCTTTAATATATGGGTAATTCTCACAAACCCCCTTAAGTTCGGTAGGTTCGGATTTAAGCAACGTTAACTATTTTAATTCCGCAAAATTTAAAACCCCCCCTAACTTTAACCTTGCAAAGTAACATTTTCTAATCTCATATGTCACATGACAATCACATGACTAAAGAAGATGAAATATCCCTCATCCCTAAGAAAAACCCTCGAAGTTAAGGGGGCTTTGCCGAATCAAAATAGTTAAGGAGGTCATTTCAAAAATGGCCAAACTTAAGGAGGTTCTGTGAAATTTGCCCTTAATAGAAGAGACATTTCAAAGTTCATTCTATGACCTGGGTTTTATAATTACATCTTGTACGCAAACTTGTATCCCAAGAATAAGCTGGTAGAACCTTGCTATATGAGTGTCATCTATTTATTGGCAACGTACACATCAGATAAAGGGTCAGCGTGCGGTAAACACAATAAGCTCATTGTCATATCATCTCCAACTGTTAAGAAAAATCCGAAAATTAATTCAAAAGGCTCATTAACTGCAACAAAGTAACTGTATCTCTAGGTATAACAGAAAATAATCTGCCTTCTGACAACATTTTGCATATATACTGCATTGTAGGCCTAGATTTTGGATCAAAACATAAACATGATAGTGCTAAAGTTGCCACGACAAATACTTGCTCATTGACTTGATTTCTTGGAGTTGGGAGACGAGGATCGATAATATCCTTTATGAATAGATTTTGAGCTGCAGATGATGATAGATCCGAGATGAGATCCCCTGGATGTCTTCCCATGATCACTTCTAATGCAACTACGCCGAAGCTGTAGACATCACATTTCTCAGTCACCTTCATTGTGTAAGCTAACTCTGCAAATATGGTACCAACCAAGTTAGTTTTTAGTATGTTTAATAAGCCAACGGTCATGTGGCTACAGATTTGTTGAAACTAGAATTTTAACAGTTATGATTATCGACTGTCTTAAAAAGGGATTATCTATCTTAAAAGAGCGACTAATTTGAAGGATCTTGTTTCAACATAATTTGATCAAGCTGCCGATTTGCAAGGTTCAGATGCGATCGTAACCGTTGAGTCTCCTCACTTCACGAAATTTCGACGTTTTAAAGTGAATATCTTGGAGAGAATAATAGCCTGCTGAGTTCAAGTGAAAATAGTAGTGTTATGGTAGAAAACCTAAAATCTGTTGGCATTCCACCACATCTATTGGGTCAATCAAGGATATCTAAGCAGTATGCATCAGGATCTTAGGGTTCCATGACAGTCATTTGCATGCAGTTATGTGAGGATTTCCCAGAATCTATAGGTGTAGGGATGGCCTTTGAAGTAAGAGTCGAGCTCCATCAAGAATGTGAGGTGGCTTCTGAGCATCGGCGGGCCAGGCCTGACCCTGTAGATAATTTAAACAAAGCAGTTTGTTTAATTGATTATTCAGTCTGATGTTCGGATTTGGTAGTTCATCAACTAAAAAATTAATTTTAAAAAGTATGTCGAATTCATAGAATGAATAGAGGTTAAGCACAATGTACAGTACAAATTTGTTTTCCTTACATATTAAATGCTGTCGTTTAAAATTTAATCCTGCATATAATTTGGTATCGATACTAGCACACACGGCTACCGATCATGTTATAAAATTTTCAACCCATTTAACATTTACTATTTCAGGTTGTTGTATATTAAATCAATTTTCTAACGAAATATTCGAATTAAATATATAGAACATCATAATTACAAAATGAATGATTATTGTTTCGAGTTAAAATTAAAAAAAATGAATATACGGCTTTAGTAATTCAGTTAAATTACCTGTAGAAGTCGCCTGGTCGGCACTGCGGAGTAGTGCGAGCTCGATGGCAGCGGAAGATGGGGTTGTCAAGCCGCAGTCACGACACCGGTGAATGGAGTAAAGGTTAGCAGGTGTGGGAACTTGTCGGAGCTTGCGAGGGGGAGGAGATGGCTGAGTAGCGCGAGCGAGGTCTGGTGTGCTGCGGTTTGAGGGACTATAAGAGACGAGATATTCCTTGCTTATCTCGCAGGAAATGCAGCGATCATTCAAGGCGAGAGAGTTATGATTATCGACTGTCTTAAAAAAGGGGCTCGGCCGCACTCTCACTCTTGGTAATCAGACGGCGCATGCATTTATAGCTGGCGGGGGACGAATGGGCGGCAAAACCCGGACTTTCCGAAGGTCTCCTGATGGATGGCTTGTCGAAGCAGTTCTTGAGATCCTTATTAGTAGACCGTATCGCATGGATGAAGCGAAGCGTGCTGCAGAGTACGGGAGCACCACTCGACGATGTAGTGCTTGTTGGGAACGCTCTCTCTGTGTTGAGAAGAGCCAGTGAAGATGTGGCTGGAGGACCATGATGGCGTGCACAAGAACGTGCGCATCGGAAGTGCAGGGTCTGGATCATTCCGCGCAGGGGAATGTCTGTCAGGTGCAGGCGGAGAAGGTGCGAGGGTCCTTTGCCACGGGCCAGACAACGATCTGCTTGGGATTTGCGCCGGCCGAGTTGGCCATTGATAGGGACAAACAGTCGGACCCGTCGCACTGCTGCAGCATGCGGATTAGGTTTGTACGAATGATACAATCTTTCTATCTGTTGTTGGAGAGTATATAATCCAGGCGTATTGAAGGAGAGGTACGAAGTATAGAGTTTACGGGCTCTAGGTTAGGGCTTAGGGTTTAAGCGCTTGGCGCTAAATTCACTCACCGAAGTGGAGAGCGCCGATGGACGATGCTAGGGCTTTGGCAGGAACTGCAGAAAGAGGCTTTTTTTAATAAAACTAAGTGAAGAAAGTTTCTTTCAAATTTTATTATTTTATTTTGACCCTTCTAAAATTTTTAATTTTTATTTTTTGGTGAGGAACGGCGGATAAGAGCGAAGTAGAAAACACAAAGCAGAGACGAGAGGGAGGGAGGAGAAGGATTGAGGGAGAGAAGGTTGGGCTAACTGGGACTTTTACTGCAAGTGGCTCTTATAACACGCCTAGGCCTCGCCCACAACAATCTTTAATCGTAGTTATGCTCGAGTGGGCATCAGGGTCGGGTACTTTCGCTTGTTAATCAGTAAGAAGGGCTGATTTGCCTTTACTAATTTTCGGATACGCTTAATAATTCTGTTTATAAAATGTTTGACGGAAGTGAAAGTATCTTGAAGAAGAATATGCAATTTTGAACGGCCCCACCTAAACAGCTTTGCTGACAGTGCTTTGTTTCTCCTCAACGTCGTTGAGGAACACTCCAGTAGTGCGGAACTCAAAGCGTTCCTAGAAAATTGTTTTAATAACATAAGGTATGCGTAGTCAATGTTAACTATTATTTCTATATGTTATCCCTTATTAAATAATTACTATAACAAAATCCTGAGCATCCTTTGGGTATGCAAGAGTTGCCAAATAGGAAATTCAAGATTCAAAGTTAAAATGGTGAAGCCTACATTCCGGAATGGAGCAAACGTCGCGGCCTAAATTTCAGCAGCATGTAAAATGTTAATGTTACAGTGTTCTCATCACCAAAGTGCAGCGCCTTCACCAGGCAACAGTACAAGTGTAACTTTTTGCATGACCTGGAGCACGTGACCGCAACGGCAGATTGGTGGTCAAGATCAGGCAAGGAAATGCTGCCGCTCAAGGCTGACTGCCGGGCCGGAGTCGACATCCCCTTTAGGACGACTCGAAAGGGGCGGAACTTGTCGACCCACTTTTCGAAGGGCGACTCACCATGGAGGCCCACTCAAACGGCCAGTCAAACTCGACCCCCCTGGCAGAGGTCGACATCGAGAAGGTGTCATTTCTGCGTCAAGTCAGAGGAACGAACTTTTAGCACTGCGAGCCTCTCCCCTGACAACATTGTCAGCATCTCAATCATGATTGTCAAGCATCAATCATTCTCTGGCCCCCCCGCCCACCCGCGGGCGCATGTTGTGCTTCAGTGCGGCGCAGCACATACATCATGTCAGCGCAGATGCACCGCAGCTAGTCGCCAGCCAACACCTGTAAAGCAAGTGGTTAACACCGCCAGCATACACCTTTATTCACGGCGCCATCCTGTGCTCGGCCAGAATGACGGTTCTAGACCCTCATTACGCCACAATTATAATATAGATGTACTATTCTAACTTTAGGCAAGGGGAACGAGATCTCAGATGTCAGAGCCCTGCAAACGGCAGATCTGATTTCAATCTAACATCAGAACTCTGGGGATTTTCCACGAATTCCTTTGCAATCTACTGGCACACAAACTCTAAACAGTTCTTTACTGCACCTCACTCAGTTGCAACGAGCAGCATGACTTGATCGTTGTAAGGTAACCACGAGGATCGCAAACCTCGGTCCTCGTCACAGGAGTCTTTCCCTGTGGCATCGGCTGAGCACTCGCCCACTAGCTCCGAGCCGGACATTCCGGGGAAGGAAGCAGCGGCCCGACATCCATGCCATCATAGCATCTCGTCATCCACGACACGGATGCTATGCCGACTGTTTGAAGCTGCTCAGCAAATCAACAGTTTTGCGGCCAACACAGTGGTGTACTCTATTCTTTCTTTGGGGACTGTTTGATCCAACGTAAACAGTTCTATATGTGTCAAGGATCAATCCCTATCCTAAGGTGGCGAGCACTATTTCTTTTGAGTGCATGGTTCTAGATTCCGCAGCAGTCAAATAAGTGGTATGCGCCTTCCACAGGGTTATGGGGCCAACTCTGTATCTTCACGTCTATTTTGCGAGAAGAAAACATGTCTTGGTTCTGAAGTATAGGCCGCATGCGAGCGAAGCATGCTTCTGCCCTAGGAGGACGCCCATCAGAGCCTGACTGGCTAAGGCTCGAAGCCTACAATACCTTGAAGCATACAGCGTCAAAAGAATTTCTCCCAATCTTTCCAAGAGAGGGCGAGAGTTCGCTTATGCGGGATATCGACGGTTTTCACAGTTGGATCTCAGAGAGCCAGGCCTTGATGCGGCTCGCTATTGATT